GATGTTTGGAAACTAAAGCGAGATGTTATCCCTCAAGTGAGGGAAGTGGGAACTCTAGAGTGGGAGCTTGAGCTAGTATCTTTCCAGCCTAACCACAGTTTTAAGGACGAAACTCTAAATTAACAAATATTCTTTATGCACTTAATTGATAGTAAAGAATAGAATTGCTCCTATTTGGCACAATACCTTAATTACATGTAAAATTCTTTTCCTACACTAATTATAAACTCATTGCAAGGGGAAGAATGTTTTATACAAATTTGAACTCTTCATACAGTATTAGTTTAAACTAGTGGTAAATTTACATTTTAAAACTTTTTTCGATTGTCCTGCATTTACATCTTGAATTTGCTTAACATACTTAGCATTCCTTTAATTCTATAAGAATAGATATTACATAAGAACTTGTGATCAATTACTATAAAAATTCTCTACAATTTAAAAGTAAATTTTATTAAAGTCAGTTTTATAAGAGTTTTGACTATCTCTGTGGAATCAATACTGGGGTTTTTAAAATAAAATCTTATATTACTTGAGGCTATAAGTATACTTGTGTAGTACCACTAGTTTGTAAACCATTTTTATTATCTTTATATACTAATTAATTTTGCACACTAGCCGCTAAATATAAATTAGGTCAAGATTTGGACGATATTTCTGAACTTAAATAACTGCATAATTACGGGTCAGGTCAGACACCTAATCATATCCAACCGTCGAAGGAACCGGAAGTTTGAACCTACACAGGAAGAACCGCTTGTGATTTAGAAGGTCTACAAGGGAGGAACCTACATGCTTATTGAGGCTGACAGATCTCACCCTATGTCCCCTATAAATGGGCAATGTTTAAAGATATATTATTCTTAGGTTTATTCTTTTTGTTTGATATATATGATGTACTTTGCTTCAGAGATTGATTATTCAAAGCTTTGTGTACTTTGTAATTCAATTATTGAACAATAAAGAATACATCTTTTGATGTTGCATTTATTTAAGCTATTTGTGATGGTTTCCTTATGTTGATTGAAGGATCATATCACATAATTTAGGATGAAAAATTTACATGTAAGAGAGGTCTTACACATTTCTTAAAATTAATTGTTGGATTGCCATACAGGCATGGTGGAAGTCCTACAAGAGGCATATACCTGACGTAACCAGTAATTGATGTAAGAGAAGCCATGAACTTTTTAGCCTTTCTCTTTGGTTCTACGCTGAATGAGCATATCTCACCCATTATAAATGAGTGTGGTAGATACATTTGTCCCTCTGTTAATAAATGAGAGTGGAAGATACCCTATTTTTAGAGGATTTTAACTAAGCTTTATTGTTAAGAATTCCTTGGTTAGTGCATATTGCCTAGCTAGCCTTTGCAATATCTTGATTCACAAGAGTCAATTTCGATTGATAGTTTCCATATGCAAGAAATTCATGCACTTCCTAGCATGCTCTTCGGTAACCTGCCTCATTTAGGATTTGAATTGAGCACGTAGTATGACTCCACTTGAGGGTTATGCTTGAGTTTTGCCTCAGGGCTAAACACCACGTGGTTGGTACACTTCATTTTAACCAAACTTTCTTATGGTATTTTGATTGACTGCAGTCAAAGTCCATTGATATCTTTATATGCAGGAAAGCTATGTTCTTATTCCTAGCATTTTTGTTCGGATTACCTGCTTCATATAGGGTCTGAATTGGCACATCTCAACCGTATTGGATGAATGTTAAGTTCACACACATCCCACTCACCATAGATGAGTGTGGTATGTTCCCTGAGGGACATGTTTGGGTTTGGCCTCAGGGCTAAACATCATATGGTTCATGCACTTTGTTTCAACCAACCTTTCTTAGGTATCTTGATTGACTGAGATCAAGCTAAATCGACATCTTTAATGCAAGAAAGCTACACACTTATTTCTAGAGTTTTGTTTGGTTACCCGCTTCATGTAGGGTCTAAATTGAGCACATCCCATTTGTTGTGGATGAATGTGATAGTTATGATAATTCCACTCACCTTGAATCAGTGCAATATATCCCTACTTGAGGGATATGTTCGGGTTTGGCCTCAGGGCTAAAAACCATATGGTTGGTGTACTTTGTCTGACTATAGTATCTCAAATGATTGAGGTCAATTTTGATTGATACTCTTGGCAGGAAAGCTATGAGCTTATTCCAAGCATTTGGTTTGGTTATTCGCTTCATTAAGGGTCCAAACTGAGCTCTATTTAATAAATATGCTCACTCCCACTCACCTTAGATGAGTATGATATATTCCCCACTTAAGGGGTACGTTGGGCTTAGCCTTAAGGCTAAACGCTTCATGTTGATGCCCTCTGTACAACCAACCTTTAATTTGTATCTTGATTGACTAAGGTCAAGCTCGAATGATACTTTTTATATAGGAAAGCTACCTGCTCATTCCTTGCATGTTTGTTCGGTTATCCATTTCAAATAGGGTCTGAATCTAGCATGTCACATCCGTCATGGATGACTGTGACAAGTTATGCACATCCCACACACCTCAGATAAGTGTGGTATATCCCCATTAGAGGGACATGTTTCGACTTGGCATTAAGGCCAAACACCTCATGTTTAGTGCACTTTATTTTGACAAACCTTTCTTTGGTATCTCGATTGAATGAGGTCAAGCTCAATTGATACCCTAGGTATAGGAAAGCTACATGCTGGTTCTTCACATGTTTGTTCAGTTACCCACCTTATACAGGGTCCAAATTGAGCCCATCCCATCCGTCATGGATGAATATGATATATCTGCTGATCCTACTCATCATAGATGGTTGTAGTATATCCCCATTTGAGAGACATGTTCGGGCTTGACCTTAGGGCCAAATGCTTTATGCTTGGTGCATTCCGTTTTGATCAACCATTCTTAAGGTATCTCAAGTGACTGAGATCAAGCTTGATTGATAACCTTCATATACAGGGAAGTTGCACCTTGTTCCTAGCACTTTGTTCGGTTACCTACTTTGTGTGGGTTTGAATCACTATACACCACTCATCTCAGTTGAAGGCGGTGTTATCCCTCTTGGAGGATATTTTTGGGTTTAACCTGTGGGCTAACTACCCTTATGATTGGTGCACTATGTTTTCATCATGAAATTGTTAGATACTGAGATGATTCCCCCAGCAGAAGTCATTTTACCAAAAATCTTTAATAACAATATCACATATAAGGTTGGTATGTTTTAGTCATCCAACATCTTTGATATTCTTGACTCGATCAATATATATTATCTTTTTAAAGCATCATGTTGTATCAGTTTTAGACTTCGTCTATGGTCTATCCAATCCATGTTCTTAGTCAGAGCCACTATTGATGTCAAACAATGGTCCCATATTTTCCCTATCAAGAATTGCCTCAGCCAATTCTCATAGGAAATATCCGTTGAGTTTTCCCCAAGTGAGAGCTACTTTGCTAGTTCTGAGGGGCCTTTTACAAAATTTACTTCACTAGTGCTTGCCAGAAGCACCCAATGGTTGGATCTGTGATTCTATCAAAGTGTTATGATATCATTTTCAATCAACTTGGTTGTTTCAATCCGTCTCATTTAATGGCATGTCATATCAGCAGTTTAACTGATCCATCTCTTCATTGAGATATTTGATACCTCCGTAGCAAGAGTTAACTTGCTAATTTAGAGGAATCTTCAATGAGAGACATCTCACTGGTGCTCATGAAAGTACCCTTGTGGTTAGACCATCCTGGTTATCTAATCTAGTTAATATTTTTGATCTATTTAGTAGGCTATGTCTGCCTTGTCGAATAACTTGTCACATTGATTTTACGGTCGATCTATGATTTGTTGGGGTACTTTGATGTCTGATTATTTTTTTATGCTTGATAGGGTTACCTCGATCAATCAAGATCAGTAGAATCAATATCGGTATCCTTTAAGGGAAGCATTTCTCCTTGTGGGATTGCTTTATGCGTCCAACATATTGTTTGAGCATGTCACCTTAGGATATTTCTCCACATGATTTCTTATCTAATGCATAGGAAAGATGCATATCTCCTGCTCTGTTTGGTATAGGATCGAGATACATATCTCCTGTGTTATTTGATATATGCAGCATGATACATATCCACTACTCTGTTTGATATATAATCAAGATATATACCTCATGTGCCATTTGATATGTTTGATAGAATACATATCTTCTGTTCTATTTAATGTATAGTCAACATACATACGTCATCTTATCTGATATATTGCCAGGATACATACCTCATCATTTGATATGTGTGGCAGGATACACACCTCCTGCTGACACATTCTCCTTCAATTTTCATTATTAAAAAGCACATAAAATCAAATTTCACATTTATATTAAGCTTAAATGCACAACAATAGAAGTACTCCCAAAAGCTAAACCATCCGAAGTACCGAAAGAGAATTTCCTTTGTACTTGTTCGAGCCTTGAAGTGTGTAATAAAATTCATCACACTTTCGCAACTTGTTCTACAACATTACATGCATGAAGGAATTTGCATTTTATTTTCTATTTGAGAGATTTTTTTATCTTGTAAATATTCCTGTTTTAGTATGATGAAAATATAAAGTATGTAATTAGATTAAAACCAATTCTATTTTATTTATGTTAATAATTATGTCAACATATTAAATTAATGCACTGCAAATTATGACAATTTTGATAAAAAAAAAAATTTAAAAATATATTTATATCTAATAAATAAGAGTGCTGCCCATTTAAAGGAATGGAATTTTTGTGCCTACATCCATCACCACCTATCTGAAAAATGAATGATTGTAATTTAAAATAGCCACAAACAAAATTTTATTACCTTTAAAATCATCAATAGCATTTGCTATTTCAAATCTTAATACATGAATAACGATTGGTGATGCGAGATATATGAAGATAAATCAATCTATTCTACTAAATAAAGCGACATAACGCTTTAAGGGCATATAATTAAATAATTATCTTCCATATAATTAACATGCCCAATTACAACTCCATTATAGCTCTGAATCAATAAGAAAATAAAATAAATTTGCACAATTCTAAAACTCCGACATATTCAAATTTCGCTTAAACCCAATTGTCGGAAAAAAAATTTGCACACGTAAGACATATGCAGCACATCGTACATTAGGTAGGTTATAAGGAGGGTACTAGGGGTTATATCCGCATTATACCCTCTGTAACATTCCTGTAACCTACCTATAACTAGTAAGTTCTGCGCTTCTGTTTTCATATATTTGTAGGTTACAGGGGGTATAACGCGGATATATCCCCATACACCCTACTTATAACCTAGCTGACGTACGCAGACGCTGCATACGTCTTACGTACGCAAATTTTTCTCCAATTGCAAGAACGCCTTAAGAAAAGTAGAAAACAGAGCAGATATCTAGTATAGTTCCTCAACAAACAACTGCAGCGAATAAAATAGCAGCTTATAACTCGCAAACTGTACCATTGACCCACCTCTTCTAGCAGTTCTTCAGCATAGCCACCGATCAGACAGATTATGATACAAATGAATAAATCACATGGCAATGATAACCAAATGAAGAAAATCAAAGAACAACGTAAAATTATATCTGAACAGCGATTTGAAAAAACAAACCCCTGTTTCACCCAAGACCCACTCCTGCTTGTTCCTTTCGAGGTGCATCAGCCTTGATTCGAGCAGGTCTTAGGATCCGATCAATCAGCCCATACTCCAGAGCTTCTTGAGCATTGAATCTCTTCATGCGACTCAAATCTTTGTTGATCTGCATGAATGACAACCAATTATGCAAGAAAATAAAATTATATTATAGGCCTTCGTAGGGATGCTTGTTCAGCCAAACAAAATAAATAGCGCCTGGAAGTAAAAACTTGGCTTCCATTCAATGCTAATCTACCTCTGATATTCTCGCTTTATACTCAAGAAAGACGTTATCCAAAAATGAAAATAAAAGCAAAGTAGATCAGTAACATGTCAGGCAAACCATAGGATCTGTTATATTTGTCACAAGCAACATCAGCTAGATGATGAAATATTACCACCTTTTTCTGTTATTATATGAAAGTCATTACGATTCTGAAAGTTCTTTGTTCAAAAAATAAAAATTAAAAAGACAACGTCCATTAAACTCTTTCTCCACCAATTTTTCACGACTCTTGTTGTAGTAATGCCCACATCCGACTAATTCTGAACTTCTGAAAATGATTAAAAGAAAACAGAAGCTTCACTTAAGAAATAACGTCCATTAAACTTTTTCTCCACCAATTTTTCACGATGCTTGTTGTGAGTAACGCCCACATCCGAATAATTCTGAACTTCTGAAAATGATTAAAAGAAAACAGAAGCTTCACTGATGTCTGACTGTGGGTTCGACAGCACTGTCATAACTATTGATGTACAAGAAATGTGAGATCAACCACAATTTCAACACCGAATATGTGCCATGGACCCCAAAATGAGACAAAATATTGGCGGAATGTGCAAACTCCACTTCAATTACAGAGAAGAATGCAACATCCATGATACCAAACACAGGTACTAGGAATGTCATATTAAAATCATGTAGGCGGGTTGAAAGGCACTGTGGACAGGTTTGTTGCTGCACTCAAATGCGTAGAAGTCGGCCTGAGAAGAGAGGATGCTGAAACAGAAGATGTTTCATGTGCATGAAAGACGAGCACGATTGTGGGGAAGGATGGAGAGTGCAGAGCATGTCTAACAAGGACTGAGGATCATGTGATTTCAGCCCCATTTTTACCCCTCAGTTTTGCATCCCCATTTTTGCTTCTTTTGTTAGAATTAATATCAGCCATGAAAGGGATAAAGTCGTATAAAATTTTGCTCGTTGCATGCATATTAAGCCACACATTTTAAACAAACGAATGCATTATACTCTTTTTTTTTTGTCTTAAGATCCTCTCCAATCAATCCATGAATAGCTTTCAAATTCACATCTATCAAATCAAACTTTATGATTAAAAATACTTCCTTTACTTCACTGAACATTATGCAGCAACTTTTAACTTCTATAACGGGTAAATCAAAAAGATTCAGTATCATTAATATTACCTCCATGCCCTAAATAGGAGTATGAAAAATTCTCTTAAAAACAACCTTTCACTGTCAATATATGGTCATATGAAACTAAAATCATATTTCCTTGATTTTATGTTGATTTTGTAATATTGTATTGCAATAATGCTCAAAATTATGAATCTAACCTTCAGAGAAACTTTATTACAAGCAACAGCACTATCATTTGTTCTAGCAAGAATTTTCATTTTATTGATCATTCCAACTCCAAATTGCAAACATCTTGGTACTTTCATTCCATGTGCCTCTTTTACTATGTAATTTAACCGACGAAGGATTGGTCTTGATTAGAAGATTGACATCTAAGTGTAGATGTCGTACCTATGTTGGCCACACTGTACAAATATAAAGTAAAAAAAAACCAAGGGTACTTAAGAAATGATCAAATTCATTAATTGGATAGAGAAAATAAAAATAAATGTCTTAATTATCATTATTTCATCAAACAGAATAATTTACCATTGAGAATATAACAAAAAAGATTGTTATGTCACTATTTCAAGTACATTTGTTCATGTGAGCCATCAACTACCAAAGCCAATTATATTTCATTTTGAGCAAGAAAAGAGTCCAAATAATGAACGCCCTGTCTACAGGCACAATTTTCTGAATCTAAATTTAGAATTTTAGCATGTCAAAATTCCAATCACACACAAGATAAATATTATGCATAATACTGTAAAACAAAGAGTGATTTTTCTAGTATATGTTTTATGTACCAAAACAAAAGAGCAAAATACACAATATTATTAACTTGATGGATGAAACTAACTAATCTAAAAAAAGATCTTTATATTAAACCCACATCTAGTTCAGCTAGACAAGAAAAAAAAAGGAGTCAATTAAGTGGCCTAATTCTTTAATTCGTTTATGATGAAATCATGAAAAATACTCCAACTAAGGCATTTTTTAGATAGGCGTCACCAAGTCTGGCCTATTCCCATGGGTTAGGAGTTTCAATAAATTTCTAATCAAACTGGACAAACCCAACTCCCTGTTCTCCGTACAATTGATTGAGGAGCAACTGGCTTGATCTGGGTCTCAAAACATTGGTAAAATGGGCATCAACTAGAACAGACATTAATATTATTGCACTTGAACAAAGTTTTATTAAGAGATTATGAAATCATGACAACACGGGAAATAATTACATGCCTTCTCAATCGGTTGACCCGTCTTTCTTGCCAACTCTCCAAAAAGGTAATCTCGAATGCGAAGAAGTTCATTTGCTTCATTTCTTACATCATCAGCCTGGTAGAGCAATTACAGAGATTTTTAGGGTAAAAGAGCATTCAAATATATAGCAATCAAACACTAAGTAGTCAATGATACAAACCTGACCCCGGGCTGCTCCTGCTGGGGATTGAAGAGCAATTCTACAAAGAGGCATGGCAACTCGATTACCCTTGATTTAAAAAAAAAAAAAAAAAAATTAAGAATTCCAAC